CTGTGAGTGCCCAGCCAGAGAGGGCCAATGTCAGAGAGGTGTTACAGACAAACTAGCCCTAGGCAGAGATCTTTCTCTTTGAGGGTATCAAAAGATTGCAAAAGAACTGAAAATGCAAAGTTACTTTTTGCCATGCCCAGGTCCACCAACTCATCTTCAGGACACCAGTGATCCAGCCCCCATTGTCTGGCAAGCAATACTTGGGGCCGGCCTCCAAGAGTGTGCTAATCCCAATGGCCACACCGAGCTCCCACCATTCCCCATCTACCATTGCTCTAATGTTACGTGCTGGGTATACTGTTTCCAAAGACACTCCCCAACACTTTCTCCCATTCCTGTGCCATGTTGCTCCTTCCACCAGGAGAGCTATTCCCCACCCGCCCCCCCTTGGTTCTTGGGCTGACCTTGGGACTTGTTTTGACCAGCAGAATGCGCCAGAAGTGATGCTGGGCAAGTTCCAGCCTAGGTGTTAACTGAGCACTTCTGTCTAAACTCTTGGAGCCCTGGGCCACCTCATAGGAAACCCATTCTACTGGAGCAAGAGGTCCAGTGAGGGCCCGCCTGTTCTGGCCACCCCAGCTGAAGAGCTAGCTGAATGCAGCCAAGTGAGCGACCCAGCCACCCTGCCCAGCTGAGCCCCGGGAGTCGTGAGACATCATAAATAGCTATTACTGTCCTGTGTTTTTTTGGTTTTATTTTTTAAAAAGATTTTATTTATTTGACTGAGACAGAGCACAAGCAGGGGGAACAGCAGAGGGAGAGGGAGAAGCAGACTCCCAGCTGAGCAGGAAGCCTGATGCAGGGCTCGATCCCAGGACCCCGGGACCATGACCTGAGCCGAAGGCAGATGGACTGAGCCGCCCAGGCACCCCTATAGCTGTTGTTTTAAATCACTAAGTTTTGGAGTGGGTTTTACGCAGCAATAGACAACAAACATGGGCCAAGCCCTGCTAAATGCCTTGCTTGTGTTATTTATTTAATCCTCACAACATCCCTGGGAGAATGTCACCTTTAGCAGTTGAGAAGAGCTAGGCTTAGAAGGGTGGCAACTGCCTGGCTCCCAGTCTCACAGCTAAAAAGTGGCGGAGTGTGGATTTGGCCCTAAGTCTGTCAGACTCCAAGATGGGCAGGACAAGGGGATGGCTAGGAGTCCGGGGGAGGGCCCATGTTCTCGTGACAGGAGGGAGGGAGAGATGGTGCTGCCCGCCTCACTCCCCCCAGATGGAAGGCAGTGGAGAGACTGGGCTCTGCATCGGGGGTAGGGGGTGGTGGGGTAACTCCAAGAGCTCTTGGAAGAGGGTCTTCGTGGCCAGGAGCTCTGTGACCCAGGCAGACCTTACCCTGTACCCTACCTGAGATACCACCAGACTTCACACAGTCCTACTGGATATTGTCTCTGCAAAGGTCTCCTGGCTCGTCCCGCTCACCAACCTGGGCATCCACGTGGCCAGGAAAGGACAAGGTGCCCATTAATGACACAAATATTTCCTCAGGCATGGAGAGCAGGGTGGCCTTGTTAAGCCCACATTGGGATTCTGAGTCAGGCTAGGTGCAGAACTGGGTGGCCGGGTGCCCCCTGGGCATCTGTTTGCATGAATTTACTAATGCCCAGGTGGGCATTCCTTCAGAGGCCTAGGAAGGAAGGGACATTTCTGGTGCAGTCGCCTGGGATGCGGGGAGAGACAAGGGGGTGGCATGGCCCCAGAGGGGGCTGTGGAGCATCGCTCTCCACCTCTGGTCCAGCCTTCTTCTCTGGAGGCTGCAGAGAGCGAAGGCCACATTTCTCAAAACTCACAGGCAGTCGTGATCCGGGTGCAAATTCATTCCCGCCTAATGTCCATGCACTTGGCGCTCTTCGGAAGGCAGCACTGAGCGCCCTCTGTAGCTGCTTTTGCCCACAGACAGGGTGGTGGGAATGTGCCCTTTTTTCTGCAACCCTGTTCCAGGCGCCTTTCTGTAGCGTCCTGACTATTGAGGAACAGGTTTCGCCCACCTCTCCTTCTCCTGATTGGCTTGTCTTCCCCCTTCACGTTCCTGTTCCCCTCTCTCTAAAGCCTTTCTCCAAGAGAGCTGTCAGCTCCCGGAACTGTCGCTTCTGTGCCGATGAGCAGGCAGCCCCTGGTGTTGCGGGAGCGGCGGACAGAGAATCTGGAGGTTAACAGCATAGCTCTGGAGCTGCCACTCACTGGGGATCACATCATTCCTTCTCTGTGGGCTCCTGTTTTACACCTTATAAAATGACAGACTCGAAATGAAAGTTCCCTCCCAGCTTGAACCTCCTGTGATTCATTCCACAAACATGTAATTGAGGGTTTGCCGTCGGACAGGTACTGGGCCAGGTGCTGGGGCAACAAAGATGAGTGGGGCCTGGTCCCTGTCCTTGTAGGACTCACTTCCCAGAAGGCAGGCAGACGGAGAAGCATGGAATTATAACACAGAGGGCTCCCAGCGGTAGTTGAAAGCATCATCTAGTTCTGGCAGCCTTGTTAAGAAAAGCCGAGGTCTCCTGGCCTCCCGGCCTCCCCGCCTCCCCTTCCCACTCCCCAGGCACCACCTCTCTCAGTTCTTTTAAATGATTCCTTTGAGTTTTGGCATCATATCTATAGAAAAGAGACGTGCATTGCTGCTTCTGCATTTTTCAGTTTTGGGTACTATGGTCTCACCCTATAAGGTGTAGATGAAACTCTCTTTCAGCTCTCCCCATATAACTGTCCCCCAGAACTCTGCCTGTCTCCCCATCCTCCCAGGATGATTTATGGTTACATCATCCTCTTAGTTAGATTGGGGTTCAGTGTTTTCATTATTATGGCGAAATGTTATTTCTAGCTAAACCATGTACATTATTTGGCCTTTTTCAACATTTTGTTCCCTCCCCAGTTAATGGTCCTTTTTTATTTGCTTAGTTTTCTTTATATATATTAGTGATTCACCCCCCCAATCTTTCCCAGTGCCATAGATTTTCATCACAATATGTTCAAATTTTAGGTCTATGCATTTTGTCTTCTTGAAGAAATCTCTCCCAGAGCCCTTTGACTCCCCCCAGCAGACCCAGCTGCCCTCTACTCCTGGTATGGGCCTCTAACGGCTGACTCTGCCTTTCTATTCTTTTTTCTTGTTTTTGGTGGAACACATCCTCTTGCCTCCCACTGTGGCAAGCGATAAACCGGAGTTACAGCTTTTGGATCATTTGCATGTCTTGACGCATTTTTATCCTACGCTTAATTAGTACTCTGGCAGGGTATGGAATTTTAGGTTGGAAATAATTTTCTCTTAGAACTTCAAAGGCAATGAATGCTCCATTATCTTCTACAACAGCGCTGTTGAACACCCAATGCTATTTTTGAGTCTAGGTCCTCTAATGTGACTTGTTTTTCTCTCTAAAAGTTTGTAGGATCTTCTCTTTGTCTCTGGTGTTCTGACATTCCATGAGGATGTGCTCTGGGGAGGGTATATTTTTATGCACTCTTTGGCTGATTCAGTTTGAAACTAATCTCATTCAATCCTGGGAAATGCTATCTTCACTTCCCTTTTCAGGGATTTTCTCTCCTCTGGTTTCTCTCTTTCTAGATTTCCTTTTAGTTAGATGCTGGTCTACCTGAACTGGTCCTCTAATTTCATTTTCTTTTCTGTTTTCCTGTGTTGTTTTGTTTGCAGTAGTTTGGGGAGGATATCTTTAACTTCCAGCTTTCCGTTTGTTTTCATTTCTGTTATATTTTTAATTTCTAAGACCTCATTTTTTTCTCCAAATGTTTACTTTTATAGCATGTTTCTTTTCAACTTTACTTCTTTCCTTCTTTTTGTTTCTCTCTCTCTCTTTTTCTTTCCTTCCTTCCTTCTTTCTTTTCTTTCTTTCTTTCTTTCTTTCTTTCTTTCTTTCTTTCTTTCTCTCTCTCTCTCTCTCCCTCCCTCCTTTCTTTCTTTCTCTCTCTCTCTCCCTCCCTCCTTTCTTTTTCTTTCTTTCTTTCTTTCTTTCTTTCTTTCTTTCTTTCTTTCTTTCTTCCTTCCTTCCTTCCTTCCTTCCTACCTTTCTTTCTTTTTCCTTCCTTCCTTCCTTCTTTCTTTTCTTTCTCTCTCTTTCTTTCTTTCCTTCTTTTTCTTTCTTTCAAGAAGTATTCTCTATGCCCGACATGGGGCTCAAACTCAAGAGTCGCACACTATCTGGACAGAGCCAGCCAGGCACCCCTAGCATGTTTTCTTATTTCATGGATGCAATATCATATTTCTCTTTGAATAAATAACTTTAAAATTTTTTCTTCTCTTTGCATAGCAGAGTTCTTCAAGTTGCTTTTGTCTATTTGTTTTGATCTCTCTTTTTTTTTCATATTACTTTCCTCATATGTCTCCTGATCCTTGGATTTCTTTTAAAGAATGGGACTCTCAAAGCTCTGTGCAGGTGGGTGGGCCTTTGCTGCCCTGGTCTTTAGAAACCCCATGCCAGAGTCTTACACTTAATCCCCCTGTGGTGTCCCTACCTTAACTACATCAGTGTCCCCCAGCCCAAAGACCCTCTGTCTTACCCTTTCCAGAATATGCATCTCCCATGGTCTCTGATGGGACTGGGGGGACTGGGTGGGGAAGGGACGTCCCTGCTCAGGGTGGGGAGGGGGTCTGGCAGACTAACTACCCCTTAAACTGACTTCCTATGGGTTTACTTTGTTGTTGCTCTCTTGTTTTATTGTTGCTGTTTTGGTTTTTAATAATAGATTTTAGTTTTTAGAGCAGCTTTAAGCTCACAGTAAAATTGAGGGGTAAGTACAGAGGGTTCCCATATAGCCCCTGCTCCCCCCAGACACACAACCTCCCCACCATCAACATCCCCCACAGGAGCAGTACATTTGTTACAATCAGGGAACCTACATGGTCATATCATAGTCACCCCAAATCCATAGTTACATTAGGGCTCTCTCTGGGTGTTGTACATTCTATGCGTTTGGACAAATGTGTAAAGATATATATCCACCACTATCGTCTCATACAGGCTTTTTTTCTCCGTGTTACAGGATTTTTTTCTCCGTCGGGGCCCGTGGTTCTTGGTCACGAAGCTTTGAAGAATGAAGAGGTAGACCGGACAGAGGGGTAGGCAGCGAAGCAAGGTGTATGGGGCGATAGCAAAGTGATAACACAAAGGTCCCAAGGAGGGAGGGGACCCGAGGGGGCTGTCACGGAGTTTCTATGTCTAGGGGATTTTATGGGCTTGTTGGCTGGCTGTTTTCATCTGATGAACCCTCCCTGTGCCTGTCACCCAATCAGGTTTTTGTCACCTATCTATCACATGGGAAAGGGTGGAGGGCTCCTTCCAGGGCGGTGTAAAATCCTTTTAAGGGTGTTTCCCTCTTAGGGTGGGGGTGTCCCTGCCTGCCTGCCTTCCAAGTATCCTTCATCAGTAGTTTCACTGCCTTAAAAATCCTCTGAGCTCTGCCTGTTCATCTCATCTTCCTCCCTACCCCCTGGGAGCCACTTGTTTACTTTTAAAAAATCCACTCCTACCCCAACTTCTAGAGATAACCCTGACAGCCACGGATCCCTGGGCCTGAGTGGGGAGGCCCGTAATGTGGGCTGGGCGCCTCTTAGCTGTCCTCGTCGTTGCTGGCTCAGGACTCAGATTCTTTTGCCATCCTTTCTCCAACCTCCAAAACTTGCTGTTCTCTTCTGCCTTGTTCTATTTGTTTCTAAAAGTCCACACCTTTTAAAAAAAGAAAAAAAGTCCCTCTACTATAGTTTAGCAGGGCTTTGGGTGGGCTCGAAGGGAAATGCTTGAGCTCCATCTGCCACCTTTAATTACAAGTCGCTCCCACTGGATTTTCGGTTGTTACCTCAAATTCAACCCAACCCCCACCAATCCCTCACCTTCCACCCGGATAAACTCCTCGTTCATCTCTCCTGACTTCCGCCCGTGCTTCTGCGACTCTCTCCTACCCAAGGGGGAAGCCCCAGGGACCCCTTTGCACTTTTGTCTCCTGCCACCTGTCTGCAGAGCATCTCACCTTCTTCCTACTTCCTGCCTGGCGGCCTTCCCCTTTCCTTCCCTCCCTCTTCCCGGCCACCACCCTGATCTGCCTTCTCACACCCAGGCCTGAATAAAACAAGCAAAACCAAACAAAAGAATCTGCCATGGTCTTGCCACTCCCTGCTCAAACTTATTTTGTCTAGAATAAAAAGTCCAAATTTCTGAGTTGGGCAGGTAAGTTTCCACAATCGGACTCCAATCTGGCCTCTCCGGGCCTAATTCTCCCGCCACTTGCCGGCGTGGTCACTCGGAACACACTGACCCCCTCCTTGGACTCTCCTCGCTCTGGCCTGTGTGCCTCTCAAGCCGCAGCTGAAATGGCAGCCTCCGTGTGACGCACAGCTCCCCGCTACCCCAGGGAAGTCGTGTATGCCCTTCCTGGGTTCCCAAACTCCAAAAGAGTGTTGTATCTGCTTACGGATCTGCCTCTCTTTGGGTTTTTTGAGGGGAGGGACTGTGTCTTGGTCATCTTGTGCTTCCAGGGCCTAGCTTGGTGCCTTGTGTGTAGTAAGTTCTCAATAAACGTCCAGTGTCTGTATGATTGACTGTAGAGAGGCTTCGTTATCTGTCTATGCTGCTGGCTCATTAATCACAATTTTATAAGAAGAGCCTTTTATTTTTATTTTTTTAAGATTTTATTTATTTATTAGAGAGAGAGAGACGGGGAGAGAGAGAGCACAAGCAGGGGGAGCGGCAGAGGGAGAAGCAGGCTTCCCCTGGAGCAGGGAGCCCGACGCGGGGCTCGATCCCAGGACCCCGGGATCATGACCTGAGCCGAAGGCAGCCGCTTAACCGACTGAGTCACCCAGGTGCTGCAAGAAGGTCTTTTTAATAATTGAACCCCTTGGAAGTGTCATAGGAAGGATCTTCCCTATATCAAGGATTGTTGCGGGCAAAAGGAGAAGAGTATGCTCTTTTGCATGTTGCCTTATCTTGATTTCTTCTTTTACTTCTTTATGTCTTGGTGTTCTCTCAGCCCCCTGAGGGCAGGGACTGTGCCTGGCTCTTGCTTTCAGTACCGAGCACTGCGCATAGAAGGGCTCAGTAAAGATTTGTCGCTGGACCGTGTGGGCTCTGGTACGGGAGGATAAATGGGCCAGTTTGGGGTGACTCTGGTACGGAGGCAAAATCAGGAAGGCCAGCTGGGCCTGGGTCAGGCTTGGGGGGGGGTGGGGGGTGACAGCGAGGACCAGAGCAGGGGCAGGGAGAGGGCCTCTGGGAACAGCCTGTCACAGCCAAGTGTTCTTTGGGAAGCAGGAAGCAAGCAGAAGATGAGGAAGTAGATGGTGAGAGAAGAGAAAGGGGGTGAGTGGCAGTTGGGGGGGGTGGCAAGTGCAATGGGGGGGAGGGCTGAAGTAGGTGGGAAGGCCTCACTCCAGGGGCTGCTCAGCCCCAGCGCCACCCCCGCCACTGCCCTCCTCCAGCTCCCTTGAGGATTTGCAGCTTGCAGGGTGTGTGTGAGAGCCACCCTCGTCCTCAGTGTGCCCAGTCTTCCCTTCTCCCCCTGAGTGGCACCAGGGCCGGGGCCGGGCACAGGCCTGTGCTCTAGGATGGGAAAGGATGGGATCCCCACATGGGAGTTCCACGACTGACTCCCCTCATCCTGATTGTCCTGAGCAGCTGGGCCAGAGTCCTGGGGGAGCTAAGGGGTAATGAGGAAGAAGGAGAGTGAGGATCGCCTTGTCTGATGGAGGAGGGAGGGTGCGCTCTCACACACATACTCACTGGGGTATACAGTTTGAGCTTCTTCTGCCCTCTCCCCTGCTTAAAAAGACTCAACAATACACAAAATCATTAGAAAATCAATAAGAAAATCTTCTCTTGGGGTGTCTGGGAGGCTCAGCCGGTTAAGTGTCTGCCTTCGGCTCCGGTCATGATCCCAGGGTCCTGGGATAGAGCCCCGCATCGGGCTCCCTGCTCTGCGGAGAGCCTGCTTCTCCCTCTGCCTGCCACTCCCCCTGCTTGTGCTCCCTGTCTGTCTGTCAATAAATAGATAAAATCTTTAAAAAAAGAAAATATTTTCTTGGCATTCCACGCTGTGTCCCCCTCCCCTCCGCCTCTGGGGGTCCGCTCTCTCCCCTTGCTACTAAACTCATTGGAAGAGAGACCACACCTCTGCCTCCATCCCCACTCCACACATTGGCTCCTGAGCTCATCCCTGTCCTTGGAAACTGCTGTCTTAGGGTACCAGAGGCCTCCCGTTGCCAAGTCCCATGGTGGTGGTGGTGGGGTGGGAGTCTCCTGGCCCTGAAGTCCACGGACCCCGCAGCCCCGTCACTGCCTCGGGACTGCCCTCCCTCCTGGCTCTTCCTCCTCCTTGCCCGCTGACCACGTCCGCCTCCCTTCACAGCTGTGCGTCTTGCCCTAGCTCCAGATGTGAGCCCCGATGTGCCCCATCAAGGAAGCTCTCTCTTTCTCTCCAGCCCCTCTGCACAGGGGCAGCACGATGTCCTGCCCGCCCCAGCAAGCCCCGTTGAACATTTGACCTCTTCCTTGGCCCCATCTTGAGCCCAGAGGGGTTGCAAGGATGAGTTCTGTGGTACAAGATCCAAACCTTGGAATCATTCTTTTCTGGGTTTGTTTTTAAGTGAAATCTTCCAGCTGAACAAAAGATACAGGGCACACGAGGATGAACTCCTGTGCCCCCACCCCAGCTCAAGAATGAATTCTTATCAATATACTTGAAGCCCCTTGAGTACGCCTCCCCACTGCATTCCCCACCTGCCCCAGAGAGGGAGTGACCTGGGTTCGTGCTCTCTCAGTCTGACAAATTATTTAAATGTTCGCTACACGTTTGCTATACGTGAAATATGGCATTGTTATGCCTATTTGCAAGCATTATGTAAACGGCAATACTCTGTATCTTTCTTCCACTTACTTTTTCTTCCCTCAAATGTACCCTGCGGATACAAGCAGCTCTTACGTATTCCCTTTCTGTGCAGCATAATGTTCCGATGTGAAAACGTGCCACAGACCTTTAGAATACGCTCAGTGGAGGCCATTCGGGACCTCTCTTCTCTCACACAGGCACCCTGTCCCATCTTGTACTCTGTGGTTGTTCAATGAGCCTCCTGACATCATTCTCCAAAGCACCCTCCCTATCTGGGACTTGGTCACCTGCCACCCAACAATGCAGGCGGCCACCTGGCCGGCCCCCACCACCCTACCATTTCACCGAGCCTGTTCTCTTCACATCTACTTTCCCTCCAAACCTAACATCCATCTGTCACTGCCTTGCTCTCACCTCTTCCTGGGCTCACTGCCCCATGCCCCTGGCTTGGACCCCGCGTACTTGGCCTGTGGGCCCCCCAGCAGCCTGGCTCCCACCTCCCCAGTGTCATCTTCCTGTCCCTCAGCCCCTCATGGTCCCCCCCACCCCTGAACATCCTAACCGGTCCCACCCCTGCCTCCACTCCCTTACTGCCCCACTTGGCAAGCTCTCCTTCTATCTGATCTTTCCTTCCAGGCTCCTCATCGGCCTCATCGTCTCCACGAGGCCTGCTCTGAACCCTGCCGAGGGCCAAGCATGTGGTGTCGGAACCACTTGGAAGCCAAGCCCGCTGTTTATCTGAACACAAGACTGTCCCCCTCTGGGCGCATGGGTGGCTCAGTCGGTTAAGCGTCTGCCTTCGGCTCAGGTCATGGTCCCAGGGTCCTGGGATGGAGCCCCGCATTGGGCTCCCTGTTCCGCGGAGAGCGTGCTTCTCCCTCTGCCTGCCCCTCCCCCTGCTTGTGCTCTGGCTCTCTCTCTGACAAATAAATAAAATCTTAAAAAAAAAAAGGCTGTCCCCCTCTGATGGGAACTCCTCAGGGACAAGGGCCGTGCCAGGAAGCCTCTCGGGCAGCCTCAGGAGCATGGCGCTTGTGGGGTCCTAGCGGGCACCAGCCTGGGTTACATGCTTCCCATCTGCTGTTGCTCTGATTCTCCCCTTCATCTCCTGCCGGTCAGGGCTCCTCATCGCCACGTTAGAGATAAGGAAACCCACCGCAGTCCCCTCCCTGAGGCCTCCCCAGTACCAGAGGATGTGAATGCGCTTTGGATGTGAACAGTGGCAGGCGGGCGGAGCTGCCAGCAGCCCGCGGGACTCCCTGCCCCTGCCTCTTCCGCCCGGATTCAGCCCTCCGTCCCCTGCCACAGGAACCTTCTCCGAGCTCCGCTGAGGCCCCTCTACAGGCCTGAAATGTCTCTCCTCTCCCCCAGCATTTCCCCTCCCTAGCTCCAGCCCCTCCTCCAGGGAGTCCTCCCGGAGCGCTCTGGTCCCCCACCCCATGTGGTCATTGGTCTTGTACACCCAAGACTACATTTTATTAACAGCTATTATGTGCTGTGGGCCTAACACGCGCCACTTTTTTATATATCATTATTCCTCTCAGCAAGCCAGAGATGATCATCCCACCCCAGTCTACAGATGAGGAGATGGAAGCCCAGAGAGGTCAAGACGTTTCCCGAAGCCCCAGAGCTAGCACGTAGCAGAGGGAGGACTTGGACCCTCGTTGGGCTGACTCCCGCAGGGCCCGAGTTTTCTTCCTCGTAGCCCTGGGCACTCGGCCCATCTCCATCAGTTTCTCAGCCAGAAAACCAGCTCTCTGAGAGCAGAGACACGTCCTGTAGTTCTCTGGTGTCCGCCCGCCCCTACGCACCCCTGCGCTTGGCCCGTTCCTAAGCCCAGGCAGTGGCCTGATGTAGACGATCTGAGCTCCGGGTTCGAGAGCAGGAGGGGCACTGACCCCTAGCGGGGGTAGAAGCCTCCTACCTAGTCTGGGCCAGAAGCTCCAGGGTGCCCATCCCACCTCTGCACCCGCCCCCCACCCCCATTAATTTGGCCCATCACCCCCTGCACCCTGGCCCCGGCCCCTCCTGGCTAGGACAGAGCGCCTTTCAGCCCAGGCTGCCACCATGACCTCCTTCTCGGGAGGGGCTGTTTTTCTAAACTTCTGATCCTGAGGTGGAGGCCGACTGCAGGTGCGGAGAGGTCCTGGGCTTGTGTGATGGGATGGCTCTTTGACCACCGCGTGCTCTGTGTCCCTGCCCTGGGTGTCCACAGGCTAATTGCGGGCTGCCAAGCTGGAAGAGACCTCGGGGTGTAAACAGAGCCCGAGTAGCGAGCAGCACGTGTGCGCGCCCGTGTGCGTGTGAGCACAGGCTCAGGTGTGAGCTGGTGTGTGGTCCCTGTGAATTCCCCACCTCAGACAAGGGCCTCTTTGTCTCCGCCGCTCTGACGCTCTGCTCCGTCAGAAGGCCCCCGCTTGCTTATTTTTATAGGGTGTTCCAGCCTTCTCTCTTCAGTTCCCTCTGTCCCACAGTGACGATTCCAAACCCGACTTACCTCATCCTGCCGAGAGGAGGATGGCCACTGGGGAGCTCTGAAGCCAGGGCCTTGCCCCTGGCTCTGAGGCACTTTTACCTCAGTTTCCCCATTGGGAGTCTTCAGGAAGGGATGGGGGAAAAGCCAAGGTAAATAGTGTCGCTACAACGCTAAGACTAAGCCACTGAGCCTCCCTCTTCCGTTTCCCCACC